TTCTTCTTCTTCTTCTTCTTCTTCTTCTTCTTCTTCTTCTTCTTCTTCTTCTTCTTCTTCTTCTTCTTCTTCTTCTTCTTCTTCTTCTTCTAGTATGACAGTTCTCTTAGCTTTGTAGCTTTTCTTGAATTGTTATTACTATTTTCTGTTTCTATCCGCCAACCACCTATACCATTTTTCCAGTGATGGGTTCCCGATCCCATTGCAACCGGTGCAGTGCAACGGGGCCAGGCGTCCACCACATGCATGCGTGCAGCATGCCCGCAGCGCATGCATGCATACTTACCGCCCACGACGTTCTGCGAAGCTGTAGTTGCTTGCCGGAGTTTCGTGCAGGAGCTGTACGCTCCGTGCGCGTAAGCCCCGATCAGCTCAAACACGGGTAAGGAGGGCGGGCAGGCAGGTTGGCCCTCCAGAGCACCATACTGGAACAGTACCTGGTGGTCCCAGCAGGCACTGGTACACCTATACTAGGGCATACCGGTCGTATTCCACCACTGCATTTTTCCCATACTAAGTAATACCCCGTCTCTTCCTTTCCTTAATTTCTTTGGTTAGCTTGTCCAACTCAGTGCATTCTATAATTTTTTGTATTATTTCATCCACATTTGGTATCGTTTTATTTTTCCATCTCTGCCCAAATGCTATTCTAGCCACTGTGATAATATGTAAAATTAAATATAAGGTCCCTTTGTTATATTTTGACACATAGATGGCATAATATATCCTGCCTTTTATGGTGCACCAATGAATAAATCCACTCAAAAAATGCACAAAGGACAAAGTTAGGTGAAGATGCTTTAACTTTAATTCTTCCTGGTTTCTAAGAGTGGCTTTGACAAAATATTTTCTGTTTCGACTTCTGTTGGTTGCTACAGAATCACCTGCTTATGTTGCTGCTACAATCATAGGCATTAATTCTGTCTCCCAGGTTCATTTCTGCAATCCTCAGAGAAGTCCATATCCTTCACCAAAGGTGGAAGATCCCAGTTTGCTGCGGCTCTTGCCTGGGAAGGGAGAGGAGCTTTTCCTGAGGACACCATCTTTACCAATTGGCTGGAATCGATGAAGGACAATCCAACTGTGATTGACTTTGAGGTAGCGATAAAGGAGAATCTTTGTAGCTCAGGGTTGAAATGAGGGGTGCTTGCTGCTCTCTGAGCTTGGTCGTTTTTTTACAGATGTTTCATTACCCAAAATAGGCAGCAATAGCACTTATACTTATATCCCGCTTTACAGTGCTTTACAACCTTCTCTAAGCAATTTACAGAGTCATCATATTTCCCCCAACAGTCTGGGTCCTCATTTTACCAACCTGGCAAGGTTGGAAGGCTGAGTTAACCTTGATCCGGTCAGAATCGAACTCCTGGAGTGAGCAGTGAATTAGCCTGCAGTACTGCATTATAACCAGCCGTCTCTCAGAGTGGCCTTCATTTGTTTATGAATGGAAGCCTTGAATCTTCTAAGAAAAGTGGCAACATGAAAAGCATTTGTTAGCCACCTGTGAATATCAGGAATACAAAGCGAGATATTACTAATCAGACTGCAATAACAGTGTAGGTAGTCCTTGTAGGGGCCACGGTGGTACAGTGATTAGACTACAGTACCGTAGGATACTTCTGCAGACTGCCGGCTGCCTGCAATATGGCAGATCATATCTCACCAGAATCAAGGTTGACTCAGCCTTCCATCCTTCCAAGGTGGACAAAATGAGGACCCAGACTGTTGGGGGCAATAGGCTGACTTTGTAAACCACTTAGAGAGGGATGTAAAGCACTGTGAAGTGGTATATAAGTCTAAGTGCTAGTGCTATTGACATAGACCAGACCAGAATGGAGTTTGCCCATTATGACCATATGTCTTAATGGTAACAAAAGGGTCAGCCCCAAACCAGCTTTGTACCATTGGCCTTTGTGCAGGAAACAGGATTGGCAGTGTCTGAAAATAAACCTGCTTGTATGCAGCAGTCATTAAGTGAATACCACTGTCATTAAGCTAAGCGATGTTTTGCATTGGGCATAATTTTGCTGAAAACCAGAAGTGCCGATTTTCAGCAAAATTGTTATAAAACACAGTCACGTGACTCTGGGAAATGTTACCATCTTTCTGAGTGCCCAAAGTTCAGTCATATGATTTTGGAAGGGCCTGACTGTTGCATCCTCAGAACTGGATTATAAATCCCCTTTTTCGGTTTGGTTGGTCAAGTAGGTGCTAAGTGACTGATCATAACTGCAATGAACAGCCTGGTAGAGTTTCGCCATTCAAGATCTCCCATTGCATTTCCACATCCACCCCTCTACCAGAACAGCCAAGGAGCATTATATAGTCCTTGAGCATGCTCAACATTATTTGGGCTGTTTTGGAGACCTCACAGTTTTTTCTCCTATACCAGTGATGGTCAACCCTTTTGGCACCGAGTGCCAAAACTGGAGCAGTGCGCATGCGCGCTCACATGCACCGGGGCATCAGGACCCGGAAGAGAGCAGTTGGCTGGTGCACATGCATGTGGAGTCCAGCTGCTTTTTCGGGTTCCACCCTGCATATGCGTGCTGGAGAGCTGTTCTTCAGATTTCCGGTGCTCTGGCATGCACGAAGATCAGCTGTCCAGTGCACATGCCAATGCTGAAAACCAGAAGAACAGCTGGTGATGGCATGCATGCCCATCTCGACACATGTGCCATAGGTTTCGTCATCACGGTCTTACACATTTCTGCATTTCCAGCAGCTGTGGTTTTTCCTCACATTCCTTAACACTTCTGTCTGAGATCATAGTGGTTGGTTCCTACCTCTGAAGACAAAAAATCTAGGAAAATGACTATAGATTTCTAGTTCCTTTAAAAGGTTTTTTTGGGGGGGAATGCAGTTCCCTGGTCACAGACCTGCTGTTTTATAGATATAATAGAAAAGAAGAAATTGATGGAAATCAATAGGAGAACAAGGAATTTCAGGCATCAATTTCCCATAAAGTTTTACAAAACGAAACCAATGAGAGATTTAAAGCTTCTAGCCTTTCCTCGCTGTCAGTAGATATAGAATTACATTTCTTTGACTGCAATTGCTGTCAGGGAAACCAAGAGAAACACAGGGGAGGGAAAATGTAAATAGATTCATTGCATTGCAACCTTTGATAGCTAGGTGGTCTTCTGCTATGATGTGGGTCAACAGCTAGGACATTTATTGTTCCCCTCCCCGTTAAGTTCATTCACCATTTAAATAAAGGACACAAATACCATGCTTTAGAAATCAAGACAACCCTGACCTCATGAGGTTAAATAATTTGCCAACATTTCAGGTGATTGCAAGGTGGGGAATCCCCAGAACTTAAAAAGCTTGCCAACTTCTGTGATATGATATACTCTCAGAAAACAGGACATGCAAATGTATTCTTTGGAAATGTTAGCATTAGACATTGAACCAGGAAGTTATTTCTGACAAATCTTTTAATTTGAATATCTAATAGAGCCACAATACATTTGGAAGTGATGTATCTTGTAACCTATGTGCCTGCTGGACATAATACTGTTGGAGGGTATACCAAGTACAGATCTTATGCATTTCTAATTATCTGTAGGATGATAGGTTTTTTTAAAAAAATAAAATAAAAATGGTATTCATGGCGTAAACAAATGGTTCAACTCTATTTTTCCTTTCATTTCAAGTAGTAGCAGGCTTATTTTCAGACACCAATACTCTTATTTCCTGCACAAAGGCCAATTGTGCAAAGCTGATTTCTGGCCTATCCAGTGGTGGGTTGCAGGCGGTATGCCCCGGTATGGGTGTACCGGAGCCTGCCTGGAGCACCGGATACCGTTCCGTTCCAGTGCTCCGGAGGGCCCACCTGCCCGCCCGAGCTCCTTACCAGTCTTTTAAATCTTCGATGTTTCCATGCACGGATGCCACCAGGCCCGTTCCAACCGTACCAGTTGGAACGGGATCCGGATCCCACCACTGGGCCTATCCCAGGTGGCAACAATTTGACACTTGTTAAAGACATGTTGGACTAAAACTTCTAGAATGACCACCCAGCCCACTCAACTATGTCACGTGTCAATTATAGTCAAATATGGTTGCTTCCAGGGTTGGGCTGCAACCGTTTTAACAACTAGTTTGGTGATCGTGTGCTTTGCGTGCGCACAAATGGTGGGTTCCTACCACTTTGGGCCAGTTCGGCTGAACCAGTACTAGTTTGGCAGCCTGGGTCACTAGAACCAGCAGTGACCCAGGCCTGCCATGCCCCCAAACTGGTTCTCTGAGCAGCACCATAGATGCTGCCATCTTGTTTTTTGCTTCTGCGCATGTACAGAACAATTTTTATTGTACTGTGCATGGGCGCACGGCACGCATCAAGCACATGCGGGTGTGAAGCCCCATGAGCAAACCAGCAGTAGTGACAGCTGGAACCCACCCCTGGTGTGTACGCATGCTATGTGTGCATGCCTAATGTGCTTGCACACAGCGTTCAAAATACAGCAATTTGAAGCTTAGCTGCTTACTTTCTAAGGCAGCCCAGGTAGGTAGAACAGCAGAGGCACAGAAATCAGCTATGCTATGCGAATCAGCTGTGCCAGAAAGAAGGAAATATAGGACAGGATAGGGTAGGGGCAGGTGGGCGGGGCCTGCTGATCGTCGGAACTACCGGTTCACCCAAACAATCCGAACTGGCAGTAGCCCACCACTGGTTTTTTCCTTTTACCAAATAGCCAACAAAATCTTTGGCCTTGGCAAGAGGAATGCCAGTTATCTGTCTTCACCATCAACTGGATTGTGTTTCAAGGTCCAGGCTAGAAGAAGCTTTAGTCATTGACTGGGCAATTCTAGGAGTTGGAGTCCACATATCTTCAAGTTGCCGATTGAGAAACACTGGTATAAAGAGCCTCGGGCTCTGAGACTCATTTTGATATTAAGTATAAAGGAAGTAAAACAATCTTTGGTGGCTGGAATTGCAAATCCAGAGTAAGGAAAGGGCATCAACTGCATAGGATTGATTAAAGTGAAAGGGAAGTCATGGCACACATGCCCCATTTAGGTATTTTCATGATGAGGTCTGACTCAAGTATTGGAGCATGATGTCATCATGCAGGAGTCCCTTTCCTTCTTGCAAATCCCCTTTAATTGTTCAGACTTTGCCTGTGAAAAGATGCTTGCAGAGTAAAACTGTGGTAGAATGGAATATTCATGGCTCTGTTGATGTCCCCCTCTTCTGTTTATTAGCTGACTTCCATTCTGGAGCTGGTGAAGAACATCCGCTGTGCAGCAACTAAGCGTAGCAATCTCAGAAGAGCTCTTTCTGAGTATGCAGCACAGTTTGACCCGTGCCAATGTGCTCCATGCCCAAACAATGGCAAGGCAGTGCTGTCTGGAACAGAATGCTTGTGTGTGTGCCGGGCTGGGACTTACGGCGATAACTGTGAAATACGGACACCAGATTATCATTCAGGTATGTGAGTTAATAGAGTAAGAATGCAACTATTTCATTACCTAGAGCTTTCTTAACCTTCGAGATTTCGGCATGAAATGTGTCTCCAAGCTGCTTCAACTTTTTGTAAACCTGTTTCCCACTCTCCCCTTCCTCGTAATTCCTCCTGCTCATATATTAGCCCCAGGTAAATTAGCAAGGATGAAACCGGATGGAGATAATTAGGAATAAATAGGCTGGAACTATTTTCTTTTAAGCAAGCTAAAGAGAACAAACTCTCCTTTTCTTCAACAGGGAACGAACAGTTTGGCAAACATTAAGCTGCTTCAGAGCATGCATTTTCCTCCCTTGCATTAAGCTGTTAAATCCCCCTTTCTTCAACTATTTATCTTCTTTCTTTCTTTCTTTCTTTCTTTCTTTCTTTCTTTCTTTCCATCCTTCCTTCCTTCTTTCCTTCCTTCTTTCCTCTGCCTTATAATGGAATATCCCCATCCACACAAACTATAAGGTAAAGGTAAATGTTCCCCTTGCACATGTGTGTTAGTCATTACCTACTCTAGGGGATGGTGGGAAATTTAGTAAATATAGAAAATATAGTAAGATCAGTGCTAAAAGAGTCAAGATCACGACTTAAGCTTTGATCTCATACTGTGCATCATACTCATACTCTGATCACTGCCCCCTTGATTTTTTTAAAATCTTTCCAGAGAATGCAACTCCACTGTATGTCCCTACTCCAGACACACACAGAAATATCATTACCCCCCCCTGGTTTCCTGAAAATAAGACCTATCCTGAAAATAAGTCCTACTATGTTTTTATGTGTGTGCCTAATATAAGCCCTACCCCCCAAAATAAGTCCTACCTTAGAGCCTGGCCATCCAGCCACCCATTCCATCTTGTTGCTCACAGTGCTGCAGCCGTGGGGTAAGATGGGGGTAGAGCTGCCCCATGCACCGACTTACCTCGGGGCCCCTGCAGCCAGACCATCCTTGCCCCTGACACCTGCCTCATGGCAGCAGCACCAACAGCCATGAGCACCACGAGCCCATGTAGTCACCAGCCCACTTCTTTTGCTTGTTCACAGCTGCAACGGAGCAGGAGGCTAAGTGGCATGCTGGTGTGCCGCGGCTGGGAGATGAGGCAGGTGTCAGGGCATGGATGGCCTGGCTGTGGGGACCCTGAGGTAAGCTGGTCCAGAGCGCATGGGGCAGCTCCACCCCTACCTCGCCTTGTGGTCATGGCATCAGCACATGGCTTGACTTCCTGCTCCATTCCGTCTGCAAGCAAATAGAACCCCGTACATGGAGGAAAAAGACATCCCAAAGAAAATAAGCCCTAGTGGTTGTTTGGGGGGCCAAAAGAAAATAAGACCCGGTCTTATTTTTGGGGAAACACGGTAGGAAAGATGGCATCCCCCTTGATCTCTCAGAAAAGGGCACAAAAACGGGACATAGAGAAGAATTCTAAGCCTGTGTGAAAATGAGATAGAAAAAGCGAAACCTCTTTTGCAGGGAAGAAAACTTTCATGAATCCAGAGAGCAGATTTTAGCAACATATTTTATATTTTGCCTTATCTGAGGTAGCCCTGTTGGTGGCTTCAAGTGCAGTGATGATACGATTCGCTTCATCAAAGTGCTTTGTGTCTCTCTCAGTGATGTCTTCTGCTCCATGTAGGGGAGGTGCCTTGCTTTGTTCCTTAGATGCTGGGAGGAATGTTGCTCTTGAAGCCCCTTCAAAGTGCTTTGCTTGAAACATCACCACTTGCTCATTTTAGCCCCCGGGCAAATGCAAGACAAGGGCTGTGGCTGACATCGAGACAAGCATTGGAAAACAGAGCACAGATAACAAGGCGTTCAACATGCTGGGAAACGCAAGGGAAGTTAAGCCAATGTAACTGAAGAGCAGGCAGAAGTGGGCTATGGGTGAATGATCTAAGGATGAAGATTTGTAACTGCCTGTTTCCATCAATCCATCCTCATGAGATAATTTGTGTTTGCCTTGGACCAACAGAGATTTCTGACTGGCACACCTACCCACGGTCTAACAAACTCCTTCCTGTCAAAGAGTAGTTTGTACCCATGGATTTTTCAAGGCCCCCTGGCTAATCCATGTTAGCCAACAACTAGATAGGGTGGAGAGGATTTTCAGAGGGCCTAGCCCGTCTCGGATACAATTCCATGTTATCCAGCAAACACATTGGTCCGACAATTGGTCATTTTCTGAAGCCGTATTTTTAATAACGTAATTTTTTTTATTAAAGCTTTTAAAAAGATAAAACCTAATACAAACTAATAGAAATTATATTGGGGTGTTTTTTTTGTATTATAAAGTGAAGAAGAGAAAAAGCAAGCAAGGGAAGAGAGAAACAAAAAGAGGAAGAAAAATACAAAAAGAAGGAAAAAAAATACAAAGCAGAGGCTTCTGATATCCTTCATAGCAGTTATACGTACAATTATACTTTGACCTCTGACTTTAAAGTTACAGCATTGAAAGTCAGAATTAGCCATGGGATGAATGAGACTGTCATTTTGTTAGGCTAATTGACTACTTCATCTAATGCACACTGTCTCTTCCTCTATTTCTCTACCTCATTTTGCAGAAAACCATCTGCACTGTTACTCTAGGGCCATTATGGAGAACCTATGGCACGCGTGCCCGAAGTGATACATGGAGCCATGTTTCCTAGGATCTGCAGTGTCACCCGTTTCTATTCCAGATTTTTGGCACGCATGCACACGTGACAATCAGCTGGCCTTCGTGCATTCGGCAGTGCCGAAAACTGGAAGAGCTTGGTCTTCTGTTTTCCGGCACAAGCATGTGTGCTGGCCAGCTGATCGTCGTGTGTCCGTGCATGCCAGTAACCGGAAGTCTAGCTGGCTGGCGTGCATGCACCTGCGGGAATCCGGAAGTGCATTTTCTTCCAGGTCACGTCCCAGATGTGGGTATGATCAGGCTCCTTTCTCAGCACTCGGAGCTGAAAAGGTTCACCATCACTGCTCTCGGGATATGTCTAATGGGAGATTTCCAAACCTAATCTTGCTTGTGGACCACCAATTCCCTAGGTATTATGAGAAGATTCTTAATCCAGATGTTTTGTGAATCCTTTTCTTGTATTCCAGTTGCGGTTGATGGTAATTGGAATTGCTGGGGTTCATGGAGTCCCTGTGATGGTTCCCATAAGAGGCGGAGAAGCCGCACCTGTAACAATCCCTTCCCCCAAAGTGGAGGGAAGCCATGTGAAGGTGAACAAGGGGAAGAGGAAGCATGCTATTTTTCCATATTTGTTGACAGGTAAGGCTATAATAGTCATAGGGTTTTAGAAAAAGGCTATAACTTGTTCTTTGCAGATGCAATGTCTTGGATTTAATTCTTTGCAATTTCGGATAAATCTGAGAAAAGAACAGTACTTAGTCACTGCCAGTCAGTTCTTTTCCTTCACAGGGGAAAACAATTAAAGGAAGCTAAAAAGAAAAGCTATCAAAAGCTGTCTCTGAATTCAATTCCCATTCTTGTTACCAGCTCAAAGCAAAAAGCCTTGTAGCAAC